GCAGAGGCAGGTGGATCTCTGAGTTCGAGGACAGCCTGGTCTACAGAATGAGTTCCAGGACAGCCAGGGCTACACAGAGAGAAACCTTGTCTCAAAAACAAACAAACAAACAAACAAACAAAAAAACCCAGAGACTAATTAATTAATTATTTTAACAGACTACTTAAAGATTCCATTTTACCCCAGTCAGAATGGCTATCACCAAGAAAATAAACGACTGGTTAGAGAGATGGCTCAGCAGTTAAGGGCACTCGCTGCCCTTGTAGAAGACCCAGGTTCAGTTCCCAGCACCCATATGGTGGCTCACATCTGTAACATCCATAACTCTAGTTCCAGAGGATCTAATGCAATCTTCTGACGTCTATGGTCACCCATGTGTACATATACATACAAGAGACAAATCAAGCTTAAGTAATAATAATAAAAAAAAATCTTCAAATAAATAGATCTTCAAAACAAATGCCAGCAAATACGGGCAATGATGTGGAAAGAGAAAATGTTATTCACTGTTCGTAAGGTGGGAGGGAGGTATAAGTCAGCACAGCCACTATAGAAGTCAGTGTGGAGCTTTCTCAGAAAGCTAAAAATAAAACCACCATATGTTCTGTTACACCATTCCTCAGATCACAGCCAAAGGACCCTGCATCTACAGAGAAACCTGCATCTTCATGTTCATTGCTGCTCTGTTCACAAAAGCTAGAAAATAGAAGCAGCCTAGAAGGTCATCACTTGATGAACAGATAATGAAAATGAGGACATACACAAAATGGAATTTTACTCAGCTTTAAGAAAAAATGAAATTTGCAGGAAAATGGATGCTGATGGAAAATATTATACTAATTGAGTTAATGCAAGTATGCTTGTTGGTTTGTTGTGTTTTTTTTTTAACACAAACCTAGACATATCTAGGAAGAGGGAATAATTGAGAAAACATCTCCGTATCAGAGAAGAAATGGAGAAAATGCCTCCATAATATTGACTTCTAGACAAATCAAGCAATTTTCTTGATTAATAGTCAATGTGGGAGAGCCTAGCTGGTGGTGATGTCACCCCTGGACATTTGTCATGGTCTTTATCATAGCAATAGAAACCTAAACCAAAGTGGCAGACCAAGAAAAAAAAATTGTCAGGTGTGTTCACCTTCATATATGGATCATAGCTTTCAGTTTCTAGCCTTATGTGTTTCATAGGGAGGCCAGAAAGCTAGGAAGAGCCCATGAGAGGGTGAGGTGAGGGTTCTTAAGGAGACAGAACATATGTGATATGAAGGTATGGGCAAGAATATTGGCAGTTAAAGCTTTGCACTAAAATGGGGCAGGAAGTAGGGAGGTAAGGGGAAGGGTGGGTAAAATAAAACTAAAGGTATATAAACATTTCTATGAAAGCCCACTACCTTCTAATACATTTTAAAAACATAATTTAAAAAACAGAATAAAGTCAGGCGTGGTGGTGCACGCCTTTAATCCGAGGACTGGGGGAGGCAGAGGCAGGCGGATCTCTGTGAGTTGGAGGCCAGCCTGGTATACAAAACAAGTCCAGGAGAGCCAAGGCTACACAGATAAACCCTGTCTTGAAACAAACAAACAAAAAGAAAAACAGAAGGAATTTGAACTGATATCTTACATGGGTGGAAGATGATTGCCTCTAAACACGTGGGTTATAAAATGAAAATCTCAGGATCAGGCATGGGTTCCCTCCCAATGAGTTACAGACCAGGGAAGCCCAAGGGCCCCCAAACAACACAGGCTATTGCTGTTAGCTCTTGGTCTAGCAGAACCAAGTGGTAGGACCCCACTGCAGAAGACACCACACACTCTGTTTGCACGACAAAGAGAAATCAACCTGGAACTGACCTAAAGACTTCCTTTGAAAAATAAAGTCCACACCAGGCCCAGGCAATCTTTCCCTCTGCTATCTGCAAATCAGGATGTAGAATTCTCAGCTACATTGCCAGCACCATGTCTGCCTGCATGATGTCATGCTCCTCACCATGATGAGAATGGACCAACCTCTGAAACTATCTGAACAGGTTGTCTCCTACAGTCCTGCTCTGGTGGCCTGAGGCAGCTCAGCTGAATGGCTTCCCACACCACAAACTGTATAACCTGCAACTGTGAGCCCAAGTTTCTGAAGCTGCTTCTGTCAGGAGAAGCTAGAAATGCAAAAAGCAATGAGGCCACCATCCGACTAACTGTGCTATGACCTCTGCTCAACCTATGTGTTATCATCCATTCCTATCTACACACCTTGACTAGGTATCTGTCCTGGTCAGGCGCTGGTGGATGCTGTGATGAAGAGATGATGATGGTTTGGTTTGTGGTATGAAGGAGTTCAGAGCCTCTTGAGCTTTTGGACTCAAGTGAGGACTCTGGAGGCATGTACAATACATTTTACAAAACTGTGCCAACCCCATAAAACTATATAGTCTTTAGAAACAAGTCTCACTTACTGGAATGTTCTTTGGCAGATCAGTTCTTCCCTGGTGACATTGAATAAAAGAGGCACTGGGATACTCAAAACCAAGCCAACAAACAAACAAAAGCCTTCCTTCTGCTAACTAGCTTCCATAATGCCAGAAGGTACCTACGCAGGTTGCTGGGAGAGAAAAGCCATGGTGGCATCCCTACAGCCACCCCTTCTGCTATAAGCCAACCTGGCAAGATGTGCCCATTGATGCCATAGCGTTAGGACGTTCATTCCTGGGGTAACCAAGTGCCTTTGGGTTGGCTTGAAGGCCTGCTCCACAGGAGGGAATTCAGAGCTGGTGCTGTAAACCTGGTCAAAAGTGCTGGCTAAGAGGTTACAGGCTCCGGGAACGTACTACTGTTGCTTTGCTTAGATGGTTATGTTTTTGGAACCACATTCTAACTATCTGTGTATTCCTTTAGATCACTACTTTCCTTAGCCTTGGCTAGAGAAGCTTCTCTGCAGTGGTCAGCAGTTAATGCAGACTTGTAACTGGTCAAAGTTCTGAGAATAAGAGAGGCTGGACTGCTCAGTCTTTTTATTTTTTTACTTATTTGGTTGTTTTGTTTTGTGTTAGGCTGTATTGTTGAGATAGGGTCTTACTGGGTGTCCTGGAGCTCTCTGTGTAGGCCAGGTTGGCCTAGAACTCATAGAGATCCTCCTGCCTCTCCCTCCTGAGTGCTGGGATAACGGGCATGTGACACCATACTTGGCTGAGAGCTTGGCCTTAATGAGACTTCTGTATCAACAACCACAGGTTTAGAGACTGTTGAGGAGGAGGGGTGGAAAGAACATAAGAGCTGGCGGGTGGAGGCTGGTGAAATGTGGTCTTTTGGACTTGACATGGCTGCTGCATTCATGAACTTACTGCAGCATGCTTACCTGCACAAGATCAAGCCAACAAAATCAGTCAACAATCCAGCAGACAGTAATAACTCAAGAGAGAAGAAGAGGAAGAGGACAGGGAAGAAGAGAAGCATGAGGGTAGAGTTTGGGTGGATATGATCAAGATACATTGTATGTACCTAAGAAACTGTCAAAGAATAAACAAAAGATGATGGTGTAAACCTTCAATCCCAGCACTTGGAATGCAGAGGCAGATGGATCTTTCTAAGTTCCAGGCCAGCCTGGTCTACATAGAGAGTTCAGGACTATACAGAGAAACCGTGTCTTAAAAAAAAAAAAAAGTAAGAGGTACACACCAGGCATCAATCTGTCCAGGTACATGCACACAATGCATATACTGGATATACACACACACAAATATTTTTGTGTTTGTATCAGCAAGCACATATACTAAAGTTGAAAACACAGCCCTAAACAAGGATGAAATGTAAATTTGTGAAATGTTCTATTTAAAAAAAAAAAAAAAAAAAAAGGTACTCGGGGAAGGGTGACTAGAGATGGCTCAGCAGTTAAGAGCATTGGCTACTCTTTCAGAGGACCTGGGTTAGAGTCCCAGCACCCATATGCCTGCTTGCAACTGTCTGCGACTCAAGTTCCAGGGGATCTGACACTCTCTTCTGCCTTCTGTGGGCTCTAGGCACACATATGGTACAGATAACCATGCAGACAGCACACATTTGCAAAATTTAAAGGAAAATAACTGTTAAGCCTTTTAACAGCCCTCCTCCATCTACCCAAGACAGATACCATCAACTCATCTGCAATGACCCCCTGGACAGGGACAAGTCTCCCTCCCTTGGAAAAGAGCAGAGAGGCCTAGTACCATCCAAAGGCACATGGTAGGATGAATCTGGACAGCAGTGGACAAATCAGGCTGTCCCCTGCCTGGCATATCCCTCCCTCTTTGTAAGGCAGGCAGACTCCACCTGGGCCAGCAAAGTTTCTTATTCTAGTTTCAAGTAGGGTCCTTGAGTCACAAAGTGCCAGGGTCTAACTAAAGGATCCCTATCAGACCCAGCCCTTTCTCTGCATGAACACCGGATTCCAATAAAAATAATAATGCTGTCCGTCTCTATTTTCTACTTCACTGTCCCTAAGGTACCTCACACAGCCTGAACCCCCACTGTTGGCACAAGAAGCCTTAGAACCCAAGACCCCGTGGACTTTTTAAGTTATTGTATTTGTTAGTTGTGTGCCTCTGTTGCCTCTGTGAGAGTCAGCTTTCTTTCTACCTGGTAGATTCTGAGGCTGAAGCCTGGGATGCTCAATCTTGGTAGCAAGCACCTCTACCTGCTGAGCCTTCTTACCAACCCTAGCAGCTTTCTTTTAAGACCTAGGTAGACTAAGGAAGGCCCCTTTTCCTCTGGGACAGGGACTGAAACCCAGTGGTCATAGTTCTCCCTTCTTTCACTCATTCCTTAGCTCTAAGCAGTCTGAGACCCAGCACTGGCTCTACCCTGGGTGTGGTAAGTGAGCTGTGTCCTTAAGAGCAGTTGGGGAGGGCTGGCTACAGAAGCATAAGAGGTAGGACCAGTTCCCTCCAGACAGCTATGTGTAGCCCAGGGCGGGGCCCCTGGGTTTAAAGAGCGGAACCCACCCAGGCTGTCCTCAGACTTGCTCTCTGAACACCGCACCACTCACCTTGCTCAAGTGATCTCCAGGGTGAGTAGATACTTGCTGGGGCGTCAGTGTGCCACTTGGAAGGGGTGGCTGAGAGACCATCTGAGGAAGGGGTGCTGGGTGCTGACACCAGGACTCTAAGAAGTAAGCGACTATTTGGGGGTTGTGAGAACAGAGATGGCCTCTCTGGGCCTGGAGGATTCTGACTTTATGACTGTGCAGAGTTTGGGACTAGAGGAAGCAAAAGCAAACCTTTAGCAGAAGTACATGTGAAATGAAAGTGAGGCATAACGCAGGAGCTGTGGGTTTGAGGGAGGGAGTAGGAGAAACTGATGACTGGCCAAAACAAACAAACCAAACAAACAAACAAACAAACAAACAAACAAACAAAAACAGCTTCAGAGACTGGTTAGATTATAAACCCCCATGACCAGGAGTTTTTCATCCAGTGTTCCATCTTAGGGCAAAAGGCCCATGTGGTTTGTATTGTAGCAGGCTTTCAGTGCTAGGCGTATTTTTTTAGGATTGACCTATCATAGCTCATCCAGGCAGTGGTGGCAAACACCTTTAATTCCAACACTTGGAAGACAGAGGCACGTAGATCTCTGAGTTCAGGGCCAGCCAGAGCTAAGTACAGTACATAGTAACAACGGCCTCACAACTGAATCCTTGACATTTGCCTATAGCTACCATTATGCAGCAAGAAAGGATGGACAAGGGTTGTCACATACAATGTAAAAATCAGGCCCTGGGTAGGATGTACTCACAGGAGAAAGGGGCTATGTCTCACACACCAGCAGACATCTCCAGGAGGTCCCTTTGCTCTGAGTGGATCTTAGTTCTTTGGAGCAGAGTCCCTGGCTCCGGAAGAGGAGGCTTGGAACTGCACCCTCCAGCCCTGGGGCTGGGTTCTGAGATTACCTGTACAGGCATGGCTACCCTAGGCCCAGATGTTTCCAAGTAAAATAGCCAGGGCCTGAACATCTGGTTAGGAAAGCCTAGCTTCTACCATGACTTAGAACAGACACCTCGCTTTGAACATTGGTTTTATCTTCAATTCCCTTTTGCTATGAAAGAGATAGTGTCTTTATAAAGCTCTTCACAGAACCCTCTGTTCCGAACACAACTAGAATTAACCAATCCACATACCCAGGCAGTCACTAGTGCCATCTGTAGATATGAAGGTGGAAAGTAGTCATTTTCTTATGGTAAACACTTCCCTACATGGAATTCCCACCTCTAATTCTCACCCCAGTTCTGCCTCTTACTAATGGGGTGAGCTGTGGCAGATCACAGGTCACAGACCCAAGCCCACCCACCTCTCCTCTGCATTTCACCCAGCAGCCTGCAGCCTTGACCTGTGTCTTGACCTGTGTCTTGACATGGCGGGAATAAGCTGTGCCTTTCTCCTGGTGCTAGCAGGTAAGTTCTCCTGAGACCAGACAGCCTCTCCCCAGAGAAGGAGTGCTGCCCAATAAATGTGTTTACATTTAAACTGTCAGCTTCGTGAAACACTAGTATAGGTGGAATGAGGGCATTGAAAAAAAAATGCTTAATGGCTATTGAGTCAGTAGACTGTGAAAAATGGACAGGGCATACCAAGGTAGACTGTTAAAGAGCAGCTCTCTTGCTCTTACCCTCGCCGTTTTGGTATCTTTCCTCTTTCTCTTGTTAGGGTGTCCCATCTCTGACTTCCTCTCTCTCTTCTCTCTCTCTCTCTGTGTCTGTGTCTGTCTCTCTGCCCTCATGGCTCACTCAGGACCTAACTCTCTTCTGCTTCCCTTCCCCCGAATATACCTTTCATATAAGATCGGTTGTATGCTGGCATCATTTTTATATAAACACTAACATTTGGTGGCCCATTCGGGGAGGGCTCTTCTGCTAACATTTAGACATGTCGGAACCCCTCTCACATGCTCACCCACAACAAATCTTTCTCTCCTCTGCTCTGCCTTTCACAATTGCTTAACCTATGCCTGCCTGCCTGCTACTGCCCACAGGAACAACGCCTGCTCCCAACACAGACTGGCTCCAGCCAGTCTATCTATGCTTAGGAACAAGGCAAGGCAGGATGCAAGGACACAGGGTTGCTCCTCCCCACTTCCCGTGCTTTGCCATGCATGCTGCACTAGAATCGGCAGAATTAAGTTTTTTGGGTTTGTTTTTTGTTTTTAAAAGAAGAAAAAGGGTTAAAGAGGCAAAGGGCTTTGCTCTATCCAAAGCTTCTCTGGCAAGGCTAAAAAATAAATCAACCATCCTGTTCCGAGCACAAGAAAGAATAGCAAGACAATAGTAAGGGAAGCAATGGGTCTCAGAGTGAATTGCAAAAGCCAAGGCCTGCTTGGGATTGGTGAAAATATGAATAAGGGATCTGGTAGAGTCACTCCCCAGACTGCTCTAGAGAGCTAGCTTTTTAGACACCAATATGATAAACACCTACTTCTGCTCCTCCCACACAGGTCTGCCTGTCTCAGAAGCCAATGACCTAATTGGTGAGTACCCACCACTGCACCCTACAAGTGCCACCTGCCTGCATTTCCCTTCTAAGAGCCCCCCACCCCCATCCTGTCTCCTAGTTCTGTTATTAGTTTACTTACTTAGTTTTTCACTTACTGCAGATAAAGACAATCCCTTCTATTATGGTAAGTGCTCATGCCAACCATCACCCCTGCTTAAGACCTTTGTCTACTTAACCCAGTACGAAGTGAGGTGGGACACCAAACCTGTTCCTTATAAGAGCTCAATGCAATGATGAAAGAGGGTGCCCTGGGGCATGGAGCTAGGGTTGGATGCCAGGACTGAGCCCAGTGAACCTTGTCCTTTCCCTAGGTTCTTCTTTCTTCTCTCATGGCGCTTGTGTCCCCATGAGATACTATTATATGATGTACCTATTAAACCACTTGGTCTCTTTTTCACTGCCTGGGATGTAAGTGCCATGTGGGCAAGCATTCATTTATATCACAAGTGGGTGCTTGTAAAGGCCTCCCACAAAGTTACACCCCAAACCCATAAATACTTTTTGAATGAATATATGACGGTACTCTGAGGCACTTTGTCTATCTCCTCTTTGACCCTGGCCCCAGACTGGGAGAGCCTGCAACTGGGTGGAATGATCTTTGGAGGGCTCCTGTGCATCGCTGGAATTGCCCTAGCACTAAGTGAGTAGAGGGACCGGCAAAGTGGGGAGAGAAAGGCTCAGTTCTCAGGATGGACCTGACTACGTTCTTCCTCTCCCAGGTGGCAAGTGCAAATGTAGGCGCAGGCATAAGCCCAGGTAAGACAGTGACCCAGCTGTATGTACCTTTGGCTGAACATAGCTATGTGGTGACATTTTAGGACCAACAGAACCACTACAGCCTGCCTATGCATTGGGCTCAAAGTAGGATGTTTGAAGATAATAAAGTCTCAAGGGCCCCAAATCATAGGAAACCCTGTCCTTTCATGTAAGTTACTATGGAAGAGGAGAATGAAAGTATGGGCATGGCAGTGCACACCCTGTAATCCCAGCACTTGGTAGAGGTAGGAAGATTTGCAGGTCATCATCTTTGGTTACATACCTAATTCAAGACTAGCCTGAGCTACTACAGAAGAGCCTGTCTCAAAAGCTCAAGTACATAAATGTAAGGTATACCCTTGTAGGAGAGGGTCATGGGAAGTACTGAGGAGACAACAGAAGAGCTTGATGTCCACCTGAGTGCTTCCTTTCTCTAGTTCCTTACCTGGGAAAGCCACTCCACTCATCACTCCAGGTGAGCTGGGCATTTGGTGGGATGCAGGAATGGAGAGGGATGGGATAACAGAGGGAATAGGTCACTGAAGAACCAACCCAACTCTCTACAGCCTCTGCCAGTACCTGCTGAACTGAACACAGGACCAAGTTGGAGGCAGCTCTTGCCAGCCTCCTGCTCTTCTTCCCCTCTGGAGACTTTCCTCTTCAGGATGGCCTCTCTAGAGCATAATGTTAAGTCTTCGGAGATAATGAAGGGTGTCCAAAGCTTATTTTATATTAAACTGGTCTTGCTGCTCCTTTCTATGATCTTGTGACTATCCCTCCCCCACCCCATAGATGTGGTGAGAATGCAGAGATGCAGGAGTGTCTGCCCCCTATAGCTTTTTATCTGGAAGCCCACTCTCAGGAAGATCCTGCTTTGAGAACCTCCTCATAACTGTGTGCCCAAATGTTTTCCCATGGCTCCTAGACCAGCAAGACCCATGGGAATGAAACCACTCTAAAAGATACCAAAATGTTTTATCCAAAGACTAGAATTTTTACTCTGTGCCTAGAGACCCTAGAAGTTCTGATGACACAAATTGCCTCTACATGATGTAACCTAGAATGATCCTCAGTAGCTTAGCCACTCTGAAACACCATCACACTGAGACTTCACTAACCTGGTAAAATCTTGTAAGGCCCTCATACCAGTACACGGGAAGCCTCCAATGTCCTGGAATGTGAGTGCATCCACCAAATCACAAGACAATAATTAGGGTTGAGTGGCAAAAAGCCAGAACTCAGAGGGTCCTAAGATGGGGACCTCTTGATAGCGAAGGTACCAGCCCACTTCTTGGCTAAGGCAGAATGCTGGGTGTCTGGAGCAGAAACTGGGCAGCTAGCTAGCAGCAGAGGCCCAGAAACAGACTCAAGAGGCACCTGAATTTCACCCCAAAGGTGAAAAGCAAGAAAAATTTGCTACACAATTGTGCTGGGTAAGAGGAGCACCGAGCATACAAATGTCCAGGGGACAAAATGACCTGGGCTGTAATGCAAGAAGTGTGACTGCAATGCAGCTGAGATCCCAGCGCTACAGCGGTTTCACATCAGCGCCCCCTTGAGGCGGGCGCGCTGTGGTGCTCTTCCATCCTGCTGGAGGCCTGGTCAGACAAAGCAAGGTCTCCAGCAACAGACCTCAACTGAGATCTGTCTCACAAGCCAAGGCATATGAAGCTCAGCTGTGCTCTTGCCGAGTATACCTTTGACCTGAGATGCAGGATCACTTTGCAGCCACAATCCAACTTGGAGATCCCACACCTATCCTCAACTGGTTTTGCTGTGTTTACTTTGTGATAGCAGAGAATTCTCACGGGGAGAAATTTGGTAGCTTTCAGGCTACCAAACACTGCATGTGGCCCAGGATAACCTTCAACTTTCTATGAAGTGCAAGATGACCTTGAAGCTCTGTTCCTCTTGCCTTCAACCCAGAAGCACAGGGATTTTAACTGTGGGATATCACATTGGTTTAAGTGGTGCTGAGGCTCAAACCCAAGGAGTCTTGAATGCTAGGAACATGGTCTTCCAACTGAGCAATATACCCAACCTTAAAATGTTTCCTGAAATTTAGATTCCATGGCCCCCACTCCCATTAGTAACCAGAGGTGCAAGACCTCAGTGTCTTACCGTATATGGCTCTCATCACTGTACACAGTACCAAATCACAAGCCTGTTCGGCAGCACAGAAGTTGACAGTATATGAGCGAACACATGGGACTCTCACTTTGCAATAGGGACAAGGCATAGAATGAGCTTGTGTTAGCTCCGGAGATGTACAAGGTCCAGTAGGCCTCAGGCAACAAAATCTCTATGGAAAAGCTTTTCCTCCTCTGAGCTGTTCAGGTTGAAAACTGCCTCTCCCAGGCTTCCCAATGTGAAGCCACTGGAAGCTCTAACTGGACTATTGCCCCTGGCAGGAGGCAACTTCACAACTCCACCCCCTTTCCATCCTCTTCATATTAACTCAATTTCTGAACAGCTTAGGAGATGGGGGTTCTACTAGCTCAATAGTTCTTAACCTGTGGGTCTCAACACCCAACCCCCCAACCTGACCCTTTCACAGGAGCCACCTAAGATCATCGGAAAACATTTAGAAATCATAACAAAATTAGTTGTGAAGCAGCAAAGAAAGTAATTTTATGATTGGGGGTCACCCCACGATACCACAACATGGTAAATTGTACTAAAGAACTGCAGCAACGACTGGATAGCTCTCTTGAGATACAAAAGCTCTCACATGTTCACAAGCACAGGACCTCAAACCCTGGAAGTCCTGTTCCTGAGCAGTTTCTGAAGACCCATGTTGCTTCTGAAATTTACGACTGTTCCAGGGACAGACCAACAGCTATGCCTGCATCCCTATTTGTGATGCTGAAGATTGTTTTTTGTTGTTGTGTTTTCTTTAGCCAAGTTCTCATGTAACCTAGACTGGCTTTGAACTATATATGTAGCCTAGCTTGGCCTTGAATTCCTGATCCTCTATCCCGAGACTACTGACATTTCAGTCAAGTGCCACTACACCCGGTTTTACTGTTCTGGGTTTGAAACCCAGGGGCCTTGTACATGCTAGAGATACACTGAGATACAGCCCAACCCTTTGATAATGCTATGCAGGTGCTCCCCTAGCATGGTACTTAAAAGTATAATACCTAATACAAAATAAATGAGTAATACAAGTGTGATCAGAAAGCATCTATCATTTCAGTAGTTGCAAGAGAATCACAGCAAGTTTGAGGTTAGCCTGGCCTAGTGAATTTCAGATAGCAAAACCTACAAAGTAAGATACTCTCAAACTCAAGAGGCTGGGGGAAATGGCTCATTTGATAAAAGAACTGAGTTCTGATCACCAGCTCTTACTTAAAAGGCAGGCAGAGCAATGCATACCTATAACTCTAGGGATTAAGGTGGGATTGAGTAGGTGGATCCTTAAGAACTCACTGGCTGGTCAGCATAACTAAACTGATGAGCTCCAAGTTGTGAAAGATCCTGTCCCAAAATATAAGGTTAAGAGTTATCCAAAGAAACTAACCTCTGACAATCATCTGTACATACATGAACACACAAACACACACAAGATGTGACAGGAGAAAGGGCTCCACAGATTAAGAGGATCATCACCGAGTCTCGCACGAGTTTGATCCCAGGACCAAATGGTGTAAGGAAAATTGATGGCCTCACGTTGTTCTCTGATCTTGAGGCCACACATGCCCCTACCAGGAGGGGGCAGGCCCAGGGGAAGTAAACAAGCTCAGCTGTACATGTGTGGAAAAGCTGAAATTAGGCCTTCCCCAAGGGCATAGACCAGCTAAGACAACTGCTGATGGAGACTGGCCGGCTAAGGTCTCCACCCACCTGCAAGTCATGCAGGGATTCCCAGATGCAGCTTCTATGGAGTCATTACCCAAGTTGGGGTGACCTGCATTTGAGTTCTCCTTATTCCTATGTAAGAAAACATGGTTCACCAAGGGACTTTGGCAAAGACCTTGGTCTGTGCTAAAGCTCCCTGAGGTGAGTAGATATTTTATGAAGCAATTATCTCTCACATAACCTAGTAGAAGCAGAACCAACTCTTAATTTTTTTTTTTTTTTAAGATTTATTGTTTATGCAGTAGTCTGTCTGCCTGAATGGCCAGAAGAGGGCACCAGTTCTCATTACAGATGCCTATGAAGCCCATGTGGTTGCTGGGAATTAACTCTTGCAAAGGCAAAAGCAGCCAGTGCTCTTAATCTCTGAGCCATCGCTCCAGCCCAACGCTTGAATTTTTTGATCCGGTCAGAGGAGAGTTCTTAGTTGCAGCTTCTCCTTAGCCTTAATTCTGGTCCCAAGCTAAGAAGCCAACTCTCTCAGGTACAAAGGGGTGATCATCTGGCTTGTCAAACCTTTAACTTACACTGTTTCTAGATAATGGGTCAAAAATTTACATTCTGAGATGTCTCTGTAACATTCAAGTTTTGTATAGTAAGTGTGAGAAAGATTTTCATACATCATGTTTGTTTTGTTTTCTTAAGTCAGGGTCTCATGTAGCTTTAGCTGGCTTTGAATCCAAGGAAAATAGATAACTAATCTGAAACAAGATTTTCCAATTAGAGGGTTGGAGAGATGGCTCAGAGGTTAAGAACAGTGGCTGTTCTCCCTGCAACCACATGGTGGCTCACTACCATCTATGAGATCTGGTACCCTCTTCTGGCTTGCAGGCATACATGCCCACAGAATACTGCATAAATAAGAAATTTTAATAATAAATATTATTTATTTATAAATATTTAATAATAAATAATAGATTTTCCCAATTAAAAGGGAATTTTAAAAAAGCAAATGGACAGGAATGGTAGCTGAGAAAGAACTGGTCTGGGGTCCAGGCTTGGCTGGGCTAGAGCTGTAACATAGGTCCAAAATAAAAGGTATTGAAAGATGCTCCTAAGAGCCAAGCCAATTTTTCAAATGAAAAACTCATTTAACCAGATGTGGCACAAATCCCAGAAATTGAGAGACAGAGGCAGGTGGATCTGAGTTTGATGCCAGCCTGGTCTACAGACCAGGTTCCAGCAGAACCAGGGCTACATAGTAAAACCCTATCTTGAAAAACTACACCTAAACAAACAACAAAAACACTGACCACAGATAAGGCATAAGCTATGTTAAATAGATCTGGAGAAATGGGTCAGTGGTAAAAGTCCTGGCCTACAAGCCTAAAAACCTGAGTATGATCTTAGGAACCCATCTACAGAGATGAAAGGTGGACACAGAAGAAGGGCTGGAAGATCAAGAGCCAGATAGCTTTATCAGAACAAGAAACAAGTTGAAAGCCAGAACCAACATGAGTTAGTCTTTTCATCTCCATTTACACATCATGGCACACACACACACACCTAAACTCACATGCAAACTGCACACAAAATACTAAGTAATGTAAACTGGCTGTGGTGGGACAAGCCTGTAACTGTAACTTGGGAGATGGAAGCACAAGGATCAGAAGTTCAAATTCAAGCCAAAGAGTTTGAGATTAGCATGGGCAAGAAAGTTAAAAACATCAAACCACTGTGAACCTATTGGGAATTGCTGACACTTAGAAAACCATTGTAGGGGCTGGAGAGATGGCTCAGAGGTTAAGAGCACTGCTTCCTCTTC